GCAGGGGCGGGAGTTCACCTTAGTGACGGACCACCAGCCTTTGACCTGGCTGATGACCACACCAGGGCTAACAGGCAGGAATGCACGGTGGGCGATGAAGCTGCAGGAGTACGACTTCAAAATCAAGCACCGGCCGGGAAAGACACTGCAGCATGTGGACGGCCTCTCCCGTAACCCCCCACCACTAGAGCCCACAGGGACTCTAGCACTGCTGGCCAGACAGGTGGAGCTGAGCGGGGCAACAGGGGGCAAGGGGCCGGCAGACATCTGGGAGGATGAGCAGGCCGTGAGATGGGTGAAGGGGGAGACAGGGGCCGACGAGGAGATGAGCGAAAGGGTGAGAGCAAGGGGGCACCACTACAGGTGGTACCAGCAGCAGTTGCAGATACAGACTGAGGACGGGTGGAAGCTGGTGCCAGCACCAGGCGACAGAGAGGCAGTGATCAGGGAGGTGCACTCAAAGTTGGGACACTTCGGGCATGAGAGGACAGTGCAACTGCTGAAGACAGGCTGGTGGTGGGAAGGAATGCGCCGGCAGGTGCAGAAGTGGGTAGAGGGATGCGAGGCATGCCAAAGGAGCCGGGCAAACCTCACCCAAGCCAAGGCCGAGCTGCAGTCCTTGCCCATTCGCGGGTTAGGCTTTAGATGGTCCTTGGACCTGGCGGGGGAACTGCCGCTGAGTCGGGGGGGAAAGAGGTACATAGTGCTCATGGTGGAGCACGTGAGCAAGTGGCTGGAGGTGAGGGCTATCCCCAGCAAGAGCTCAAGGCATGTAGCTGCAGCATTCAAGGAACAGGTGGTGTGCAGATTTGGGGCGTGTGCATAGGTGCTCACTGACCAAGGAACAGAGTTTCAAGGGGAGTTCAAGGAGCTGTTAGAGGAAGTAGGAATCACTCACCGACGCACCTCTCGGTATCACCCACAGAGCGATGGGCTGACCGAGCGCCTAGTGCAGACATTGAAGCGAGGGCTGCGGGCATATGGGGAGAAGAGGAAGCGGGAATGGGACAATGAGCTGCACTGGATCGCGGCAGGATATAGGTTTGGGAAGCAGGCAGCCCTGAGAGATCATTCACCCTATAGTCTCCTGTACGGTTGTGAGCCGGTGCTGCCGGTGGGGGCACCACGGGTCCTCACGGACACAGTGACAGCAGGTACCATAGACAACTGGGTGGCCTTGTCAGAGGCAAGGGCAAGGTACCTCCGAGTGATAATGCCAGCCGCACTGGAAAACCTGCACACGGCGCAGCTGAGGGACGACAGGCGCTATGAGCAACGCCAGCGGCAAGGGATGGGAGGAAGGAGAAGAAGGGAGCCGGTGAGGGACAGGAGGTGTACCTGAAACGGGCAAAACAGGACACGCTGGACGTCGGGGTGGGGACAGAGAGGTGGAGGGTGAGGGAAGTTCGGCCCTCAGGGATTCTCGTGCTGGAGAACGAGAAGGGGGCACAGCTGAAGGAGCACCAGACCAACACGGCCCTGGTAAGGGGGAGCAAGCCTCAGCCAGCGGGTCCTGTGACACGAGCTCAAGCCACTCGAGCACGGGCACAGGAGGGGGCAGTGGGTGACTGAGGAAGGGCAGCACCGAGCAAGGAGGGGTAAGGGGAACAACGGGAAGAAGAGCAGGGGCTGGTGGAGGTCACATACTCCGACAGTTGTCACCGCATATGCAAGGAATGCATATGCAATAACAGTAGCGTGCGGTGCTGAGAAGTAGTATTAGAATAGTTAGGAATATAGTGAAGTAGATGAATAGGAAGTAGTGTAGCTTTGCAGCCAGTAGCGCAGTGTCGGTTGCTAAGGGGTGTAGAAAGGGGGGGGAATATGTAAGAGCGGGTTGGGATAGCGGGGGAAAGCACCGAAGGGCGAAATGGGGATTTGAACGAATCCCAACCTCGAGCCGCACATTGGAAATGTGCAAACCGAGGTTGGGTAAGTTCACCCACGCCAACTCACTCGATGCCTATTGTGTGGCATTCTCTCAGACTAGTGGATAGTTGTCATACTAGCCTCAACACGCAGCGACACAGCACTAAGGGGGAACCTGTGGGGTGAGGGAGCAATCCCGTTCATGTGGGTGACTGAGGAAGGGAAGCACCGAGCAAGGAGGGGTAAGGGGAACAACGGGAAGAAGAGCAGGGGCTGGTGGAGGTCACATACTCCGACATGTTGTGCCTTTCTAGTCTAGGAGCTTGTGTTGCTGCTCTAGGTGCTTGTGTAGCTACTAGGACAGGTGACTCTCCGGCTAAGGCGTCCTTGTCTTTCACACTGGACTCGGGCGCGTCGCAGTGCTTCTTCCGCGACCACACGACCCTTACGCCACTCCTCACTCCTGTTTCGGTGGCTCTGGCTGATCCTACCTCTGGACCAGCCGTTGCCCGTAGCTCCACGACCCTCCCGTGTCCGGTGGTGGTGGACAAAAAGGGTCACATAACCGCAGCGGACTATGCCAGTGTGGTGTCTATCGGCTTCCTGCGAGCTACTCCGATGGCGGTCATCGATGGGAGGGTTCGCGGTCCGCTTGGGGCTCCAAGAACAAGGCTGCTCTACTCGTCTATCTGCGACAAGGGCGAGCGGGCCGAGCTAAGGCAATTGAGGAAAATGATGAAGCCCCCCGTGTCTCAGCCCAAGCAGCAACTGCAGTGGGAAGAGGAGTTGGGGAGGAAAGATTGATTGGGGGAAGGCCATCAAGGTGCGGGACTCTCTGGCAACACCATGCAGAGCGTGGGAGGTGGTGCTCAGGGCGCACAGCAATAACCTGCAAGTGGGGGTGAGGCTGCCGTTCCTGGGTGCAAGGGCACGCTGTCCGCATTGCGGGGATACGGAGTCGCAGAATCATTGCTTGTACAGCTGTCCGGCAATTCAGTCTGTGGTCGGGGTGATGAAGAAGGCGGTGCAATGCATGAACCCGGGCAGGGACGTGGAGTCTCTCGGGGACATGCTCTTTCAAGAGAGCGGTGCGGCGACTGGTTTTCCGGAGGCAGCTTTCATCTCAATCACTGCGCACCAAGTTTGGCTGGAGAGGTGCAACGCGGTCTTCAGGGGTAGCCGCTTCCAACCAAAGCGAGCCTTGAGGCGCATGGCAGTCAGTTTTACAAAACACGTGAAGATCTACAGTAGAGCTCGGAAAAGGGTGGCTGGAAAAGGTGGTGTAAGGACAACTGGCGACTGGGGGCATCTGACGTTGGACGAGGAGAATATCATGCGCAGGCTGTACGAGAACGAGACATCAATGACGTGGCGACCGGGTTTCAAAGCAATCTGGGAGGATGGCGGGGTGGCCTTTCAGCCTCCGTAGAGTGGATAAGGGGGGGTGATGTGTAACAATATCTTGCCCTCCTAGAATCAGTTACGACTGCGGATGTCTGTATACATGTAGTGTACTTATATCCACCAAAAAAAAAAAAAAAAAAAAAAAAAACTCTCGCTTTTGCAGCTGAAAATCTACGAGAATGAATTCAAGGCACCAATGTGGGAGGAGGTACGAAGTGGGGAAGAGTTACCCTCGATTCTCATTTCGCCAGACCGTGTTCAAAAGGGCAGACCCGAGTTTGGCTGAACTGTTCAAACGGGAAATTTACCTCGGTTAAAACTGAACCTTCATGTGTTGCCAAGTCAACCAAAAAGGCACCTGAAGTCATTGCGAAATTTACCAATCTACCAACGGTGCAGCGACGAGAACTCCAGCAGAACAGCGCCGAAGTGTCCCGCCAATCCCTCGGTACCTGAATGTACCGTAAGGAACCTTTCCCAATTTGTGTAGTCTCTACTCCTCGAATTGTTACATCTGGCCAATCACAAAGCGTGATCTGGTGAAAGGCAGCCTCAATGCACACTGTTTCAAGGAATCTGTGGCTTGTGGTACAGAATGGAGCGGATTTCCCAAAGCCCTGGTTCTGATCTCGTCGAGGTTGTTGGATCCAATCAACACTGAGATAGTTGGGACCAGGGCCCAAAATTGGTTTTGGGTCACTCTTGCAAATCAGGGTTCCAGGCCCCCAGTACCCTGACCCCTAGGGTAATATTTTCCGTACACTGATGGCAGCAGCCTAAAAATTTAGATACACTGTTTGTGTCAGGGTAAAATTGTTTTGTAGTGTAAAAATGTTAATACGTTTCCATAATTATTACTTGCATGGTAGTGGCAGCGCGGTATGTCTCAGCTGGCTGGTGATTGACAAGGTTTCTAAAGATCACATGTTCGGATCCTGGCGGGGTTGATAATATTTTGCGGCTTCGCACGGAAAATCCTCCCTACAGAGGATTCGGTATCAGTGTCATGTGCAGCGCACCCTGATACCGGCAGTGTAACCGAAATCGTCATCAGTGTATTCAAAACCTTACCCTTTTTTCACTAGGGTAAAACTTTCCATAGGCTGATTTGGCAAGGGTAACTGGGAAAAAACGGCCGCTCATCAGGGCAAACAGGGTATTTTACCCTGATAATTTGGGCCCTGGTTGGGACAATCTCTAATAAAAGCCTCGCTAACACGTACAGTCACTACGTACCGGAACACTCACACCTGCTGAATGTCTCATTATGTGAGGTTATTGTCCATGCACGTTAAATCAGAAATATGATATTGCATATCACGAGGTTTTTAAAGTCCACATGATTAGCCCATAATGCTCTTTTTTTAGGTGGGCCCAACTTGGCCGACCTGCGTAAAGGTCTTGAAAACAATTGAGGCCCTACAAGAAAACATGCGCTTGTACCTATGTTGATAGATAACTCTGGGAACCAAGAAAGTGCACACTGTGCAAGGCACGTCTAGAGACTTTGCACAGGCATGCTGTGCACTTGGAATGGTACCGTAACAGTCAACAGTGAAGTCTACTACATACATGGAAATAAAAACAGCAACAACGTCTCAGGCAGGAACCTTATGCACTTTACACAGCCTTCTTCCACATGCACTCCACCAAAACCCTCAACCACCCTAACATGTCTCACAAACAAGTCACCACCCGCAACACCTACCCCTCGATCCTACTGCCCGTCACTGCCAGCAACCACGGATGGAGAGCACAGCTGTTGAGCCACGTGCCATCACCTCAACAACCGGTGCTCCTCCTGTCACACCCGCCTTGAGGGGCGACGGTGGGAGTGGCACCGCAGGGGCGTCGTCAGCAGGGGGTGCAGAGAACAATGCAGCACTTGGAGTTTCCACGGATACAGAGACCAGAGGGTGGGAATCAGGCGATCTAGGTGATAAGCTCTCAGGGGAAACCGCGCTGCTGCTAGAGGTGCTGCTGCTGGGCTTGGCATTGTCCACCCCAGTGAGATCAATGCCCTCGCTGCTGCTCTCACTGCTGCCGCTCTTGCTGCTGCTCACACTTGCAGGCCTGACACTGACACCAGCACTGCCCACCCCCCTGCTTTCCACACCATCGCCACCTTTAGGAAGCGACACAGCAGCAGCATCAGCAGCATCAGCGTCAGCATCACCTCTCCCAATCCTCTCCGCCACAGCCATATCAGCCCCAGCAGCAACTTCAGCAGCAATTGCACCAGCACCAGCAGCTTCACCAGCAGCAGCGGCATGGGTGTGCTTATCCAGGAACACCACAACAACGGTGATATCATCATACACCTTGCGCCTGTGCACGGGCTCCAGCAGCCGCAGCTCCAGCAGGGTCAGCCCCACCTTGCGCGCTGCTCTGGACACCGCCGTGCGCGCAAGGTAGTGCGCTATGCCCTGACGGAAACAAGAGACGGCAGAGACAACAAGGAGAGGTTAGCTGAAGGACGTCTGGTGGTTCTCATATAAACCCTGAACAGTTTCCAGAAAGTGGGCTTAGTCTAAGTAAAGCTCTGACTCGCTGCTCCCCCGACCCCAAAAAGCTCACCCCTACACCTCCCAGCCTCCCTCATTCCTCTCTCCGTTTCTACCCCCACCCCCCGTCCCGTCCATCCTTCGTCCCCCATTCCACCAAAGCCCGTGCGCACCTGTCTTGGGCGCGAGTCGACCATCTTGACAGCCTCGGCGCGGCTCAAATGCTCCCACAGGCCATCTGTCGCCAGGATGACAAACCGGTCCTCCTCGCCCACCCGCACATGCACCACGCTCGGGTCACTCCTCAGCAACGGCCGCCGCAGGGCGACCGACGGGGACCCCAGATGGTCCAGGCGGAACCTCCTGGGCAGCGGCGGCTGCTGAAACTCCTTGTGTTTTAAATAGAAGTCGCCTAGAGAGCGAGTGACCTGGATGATTCCTTTCACGCGCCACGCTCCGTTGCGGTGCATTATGACTGTGGGGTCGCCGGGGTGTGACTGCTGGAGACGCTGCCTCTCCCTCTCCTGGCTTGCGTTGTGCTCCTCGGATAGAGAAACGGCTGTTACCCCGCCTATCCACCTGCTCAGAAACCCCATGGTCCCACCACCACCACCACCACCATCAACACCAGCAGCACCACCCAGGTCACTGTTCATGCTCTCGTTTCTACTGCTGCTGCTCCAGCTGCCGCTGCTGGCACGACTGCTGTCACTGGCTCCACTATCAATCCTCACCAAACGACTTCTACCACCACCGCCACCGCCGCCACCACCGCTGCTGCTACCAGAGCTGCTCCTTTGCGAATGCGCACCACCACCCCAGCTGAGAAACCTCCCCTTGCTTCGCCACCCCTTCCCCTTGCCACCACTCCCACTCCCACTGCCACTCCCACCAGCATCCGCACCCCAGCCCAGCCCCATCCCCATCCCCATCCCACCGAAAGCACTCTGCGCACTCTCCAGAAGCCCTCCTACGAGCGGCCGTCTCCTCCCCAGCACGGCGCGTGAGTCGCCAAGGGACGCGACGACGAGGGAGGCGCCGTGCGCGGGGAAGAAGGCGACGAGCGCGCAGGAGCCCGTGTTGGCGAGCTCGGGGCGGTGCTGCCATGCGGCGCGCACCATCGCGAGGAGATCCGATTCGGTCGACTCGAACGCGGATAGGACTGCGTTGCACGCGCGCTGCTCGTCCGTCGTGATGCGCTCGCCGGCGGATGGAATGGGGTTCGGCCTGGGGGAGGCACCTCCACACGGTGCTGTCTCCCCTCCTCCTGCTCCTGCTGCTCCTGCTGCTCCTGCTGCTCCTGCTGCTCCTGCTGCTCCTGCTACTTCTACTTCTGCTGCTAGCCCTGGTGCGTGAGCCACTGCTGGTGCTGCTGCTGGCGCTTCCTCCCCCGCTGCCTCTCTTTGCACTGCTGCTGCGCCGTGTCCCCCTTCGGAAACTCCCCCAGGGGCATCTCCCGCAAGCACTGATGCATCATCACCCGGCCTTCGAAGGTTCCCTTCTCCTCCTTCTCGACCACACATACCGCCACCACCGTGCGTGCTTCCGTTCCCATCATGCAGGCTTCTGCCTCCCCCGCTAGCCTCACAGCTACGGTCCTCAGCCTCTTGGAAGGGCCCTGTTCCAAGCGCGCCTGTTCGTAAAAGACAACAAGGTAGAGTTAAGATTGTCAGACAGAGTCAAGATAATTAGGGCTACGTAAACATTTCAATCAGGCTAAGATTCGGGAGAAAATCGAGGCGACGTTACTAGTAGGAAACGCGAACAACTATCCATACTCATGGCGGCGCTTCTAGTAGAAGCAACGCGCCCACTCACGACGGCGACGGTCGCCTACCAAACGAAACGCGGCACGAAGCACTCACGATGCACGTGGCCGAGGAGGCTGTCCGCCGCGAATCGCGCCGCGTGCGGGCCGCCATGGCCGTCAAACACGCCGACGAGCGTGCCGAACGCGCCCACGTCCACCCGGCTGAAGTCCTCGCACACGACGTTACCGTCCGCGAGGGCCATTGACACCTCGCCTGTGGCGGCATGGCAGCAATGGGAGGGAAGGAGGGAGGGGAGATGATACACGAGAAGGAAATCATGTTACTGAATCGACTCAAAAACCGACGACACGAGAGTGCCGAAGGCTCCCACGTCCACCGGACTGAAGTCCTCGCACACCACGTTACCGTCCGCGAGGGCCATTGACACCTCGCCTGACAGCATGCCATTCGGGGAAAGAGCGGAAAGATGACACACGAGAAAGATGTGTTAAGATAGTTTACATGTCTATGGAAAAGTGCTCGTATACCCCGTGTCTATATGCGCATTCGCCGTCTCTGTTGAACAACATTCGCATTACGTCGGACAGGCGTCAAGACCTTCATGTCGGTATCAAACGGCGGACGAGACATGGATTTACCTAATTTATTGATTCGTACCGGTGGGATGAGGAGCGAGAGGGCAGTTCCAAATAAGGCCATCGTCTTCGTACGAAGCGCCTACTCTAGGTGGATGCGATGGTTTCGATGCCGATGCCGCCTGGCGCTGGACGGCCTTAAAAGCCTCCGCCGATGCATCATCTGGAAGAAAAAAGAGTGACATCGGTTGAGATCATTAGAACAATAGCTGACATTTGCGGCTTTGACGCATTATTGAGATTCACGAAAGGTGGAGGGCCGGGCGGAAAACGAACTGGCAAAATATGAGTCCAAGAATGTCCATCCTTCATGCGGAAGAGAAAATCGAAAAGCGGCAATGATGCGGCATGCTTAGGTTGACAACACACATTCCTTCCGACAAGATAACACGGAAACACGAGAAACACGGATTCGTGAACCACGGATCATGAATCTTGGATCATGCATAATGGATTATGCACCAATGGCATTACCAAAGTCACGGACTTGGCTGCGCGATGCAGGTCGAGCCAGCAGACTCTGAAGCGCGGAAGGAACCATGCAGCCTTGGGAGGAGATTCCACAGATGAATCTGGGAACGGACACTGTCACTGGAAGCCGGGCGCTAGGAACGTCGCCTCTTATTCCGATCGATTCACAAGCGATGGTTTTCTTCTATTATGATAGCACTTTATTCGATCGCCGCCTCACGAGTCGTGCTGACGGCGTTAGTCACACCTTTGCCGATTCAAAATCGGATTAAATATCGACCTTCTGAGGTCGCCGTTTATTTAAGGTTCAGCTAGTGACTACGTAGGTTCGCAATATGCCGATCTAAGGAATGCTTGAGCACTATGTACTTCCCGCGCTTGCGAACCTCTGTGGACGCTACTACTTCGAGACAGCAAAAGAAACTGGAAGCGACAATAACAGAGGAGAGAGGTCGGCGGAGGGAATGAAAAAAGGAGGACTGAATGCGGACGGAACTATCTAGCTATAGGAGGCGTGCTGCTGCTGCTGCTGCTGCTGCTGCTGTTTACACAACCCAATGCTTGCTTGTTTCTGCAACATTTTATCTGAGGTGAGGTGAGGTGACCTGTCCTCGTCACTCCATAACCAACCTTTACATACAGTACAGCACTCTTTGCTCTTTGCTCTGCACCCCGGACTGGTTTCACGCTCAATTGGAAAACCCAGGATTTGTCCGTTTCTACTGCCCTGATCCACTCGAATCGACCCTGCACTTAGTGCTTTGAACGACACTGGGCTTTCTTCAAAGCAGGAATGGTGTGAAAACAAGCGCGAAAAAATAATAGGGCTGGCCTAGGGTCGGGTGGGATACAACACAGCAGTTCGACCGTGTCTCGGGCAAGAACCATTGGCCGGTGCTGGTCAACAATGTCCGCAGGAGAGTGAGCACGATGAGTCATGTGACCCACAAATTTCTGGCGTGACGAGCCGTCATTTTCGGGAACGCTGGTCTGACGTGGAGTGACGCGGTCCGCGCGTTCTGACTGACAACAGCGAATAGCCGCTGGCTGATGTGACGTATTTGAGGGAAAGCGCCGAGCTGTATGACCTGCCATGCGGTGCCGTGCCCGGCTGGAAGTGATTGGCGGCTTTGGTCAGAGCATTCTCGTGCTGACTCACTCTCTGGCAATTGGTGGATAACCGAGATTGTTGGAGCAAACATCCACCTTATGTGATACAGTAAATTAGAAAAAGCTCTAGCAGTTTTGATTGAAAAAAAAACCAAGAACCTTCATGACACTCAACATGCCTATAATTCATTCCAAAAAGGGGCAAAGATTCCAAAAGTGATCCCTAAGAGCAGTCAATGATTGCTGACATATAAGATCAAGTCTAAAGGAGGTACACATCGGGCCATGTCAGGTAAGTGGCTATGAACCTCTGGAGGAAGCTGGCCGTTGACACAGCAGCTTGACTTGAGCACTCCTTTCCCTGGCAAACAGAGGGCCTCTCTTTAAGTCCTCGAGCGGGATGGTCAAGCAGCGTAGATGCGTGAGGGTTGAGGAAAGGCTATGGATGGGGGTGGTGTCTGGTGAGGTGAGGTGAGTGAGCTTGATGGAGGGTCGTTGGACATGAGAGATGAGTCTGTCTTTGAGTCGACTCAAAAACAGAAAGGGCTATGGATGCGGGTGGTGAGGTGTCTGGTGAGGTGAGGTGAGGTGAGTGAGCTTGATGGAGGGTCGTTGGACATGAGAGTTGGGGTCTGGCCTGGAAGCTGTTCTTGAGTCTGCTCCCACACACCATGTGGGTTGATTGCTCGTAACGGCACAAATGCGAATGCACAGCTCACAGAATGCAGGACCCAAGTGAACCAAGAGAGGGATGAAAGGGATATGGGAGATGGCAATGACAGGGAGGTGGTGGGAGGCAGAAGGAAATGAAAGCGTGAGGGGGTGGGTGGAAGTGTGTGGGAGGGTGAGGGAGAGGGAGAGGAAGGTAGAAAGAGAGGGAGAGTGAGAGGGAGAGAGAGAGAGAGAGAGAGAGAGAGAGAGAGAGAGAGAGAGAAAGTGCACTTATCCACTCCCCAACGTAAACAGACACAGTATACCATCAGCACGCACACAAGGAGTGTACTGCACACAGCTTACTTGTCTGGCTCCAAACCTCTCCACACTCCTCCAACGCCCCTTTTCCATTGCGCCCCTAAACTAAATCCTCTGGAACCCTTACGCCCACACCATCGTTCCCTTGACACTCCTCTCCACCCCTCTCCTCCTCCCTCCTTTTCCCCACCCCACTCCCGTTATCCCGAATCTAATCGTACACACCCCTCAGCTGAACGCTCCCACCATCCCTCTCCTCGTCCTTTGCCACCCTCGACTCCTCGCCTCCTGTTCTAAACCCCTCCCCTCCCCAACCCCCAATCAAATCAGCGTTTCTCTAACACTCCTTGTCACCTCAACCGCTTCCGCTCTTCCACCATCAGCGCCCCTGCTACCCCCACAGCCGGGCCCACGACCGACGTAGGAAACACCGCTCCAACCACCATCGCCACCGGCGCGCCGACCAGAGGCAGCTTGCGGATGGTCCCTTTAATCGTATGCACCATCATCACCCCTCCCGCCACGAACAGCAGCAGTCTCCGGCCCTTGTCCACGGCCACGCGCTTCACGACCGCGCGCACGAACGTTTCGAATTGCGGGAGGGAGAGGAAGGCGGAGGCGGCGAGCGAGGGGAAGAGGAAGAGGACGTATTCGCAGTCGCGCTTGGTGGGGGGACGGAGGCACAGACGGCTGGCCCGATGATCCATCTTAGCAGATACTTTCTGAGAGCGGGAAAGGTGGGAAGGGGTTGGAAAGAGAGCGGGAAGGTGGGATCAGTGAAGAGCGGACGAGAACCAGCGGTGAGAAATCAACACGACCTACTGGAAATATAGGAATTAGTGTCACTAGCGGAGAACGGAGTCTTCGCACCTTGATGACGACTTGTGCTGCTTCTAGCAGATAACGCTGTTCCACCCCAGGAGATCCGGCAGCAACCGCCGAACGCGAAGCAGGGGAAGGCGATACTGAGCCTACATCATCCTCCGCTGTGGCTGGTCGTTTCGCGGCGAATCCTTCCTTCGTCGCTGCTCTCGTGCCTGTCACGGCAGACTCGCCTCCTCCTCCCCCACCACCTCCTCCTGCTACCACGCTTTCTGGAGGCAGCTTGGCGTATTCTGAAAAGGTTGACTGCACAGCTAGCTGGTATGCCTCCGCTTCGTTCAACAGCCGATCCACGTGTTTCGAGAACTCCGCACCCATGGCTGACGGAGATGCGCTATGCGTTTCGAGAACTGGATCCTTGGTCCGGGTTAGTGAGCGGGATTACCACAACCAGAAATGTTAATTGGGATCAGCTGTTCTTAACTGGCGACTGCTTCGCTCACTTGTGAACTACGCGGCTTCAAGAACTTGGTCTTAACCACCGCTGAACGTGCTCCCGCACTCCGAATTCGATGTCTTCAACCTCGTTTGTCCCTCCGTGTACACTTCAGCAAACAAGGCGGTTCTAAATCCCAGCAACGACCAGTCAAGTATCGAACGTTTAATCGCTCGTATCTGAACTGCAGGTACGCGGCCGACGGCGTTAATTGCGAACAGCGCTTAATTCATAATCTGAAACATAAGAGAGGAGCAGGCACGACGATGTGTTCGACAGGTGGTAATGGTGGCGAAAACGATCGCCTGGAATATACAGAGGTTAGGTTCAATGGTAAGTCCAGGGACTTCACTAAGTTAAGGTTTTTAGTTGTTAATAGTAAATGAGACCACGGCCATTATCACCACTCTACAAAGACTTGAATCTTGACCAGCCATAACTCTACCACACTAAGGGTACGTGTGACTCTGTCACGCTGAAATAGGTTGACCCGCAGACACTTGCAAGAACCTTGCTTGCAAAGAATGGTGCACGACAAGAACGCATGACAAGTTGGCACACCCAAGGCACAGTGGCTTGGGAAGAGGGAAGCTGCGAGATTTGAGATGGGAAGGAAAATGTGAGATGTGTGACAGAGGAGGTGGAAGGAGCAAGGGATTTTTGGTTGGTAACTTGGCTTGGAACTTGTAAGGAAGGTCGGTTCGGGGGCCAACATCACAGACATGCAAAAGAGTATGGTAACCCTATGCAATTGTATGCAAAACCGTCGATACCTCAGTTTTGGAGGTATTAACATATTACTCTACTAGCACGTTTTTAATGAGTTCGAATACGGATTTGTACTGCGCTTGTCTATGCGCTAAACCTTGATATATTCGAGCGACGGTTTCTGCCAGATGAGCAACACTGTTCACTATAGCTGACAGAAAAAATAAAACCCAATCGCAAAAGGGATGCGACTCGGGGAGGCATCAACCCCAAAAACAATGCCCTTCCCCGTGTTTAGGGCTGCTCCCTCCCGGAAATGCGTCCAGGTCCCTAGGGGTTATATTTTTTTCCTTCCTGCCCTAACAATTCCCGGTAGCAATATATTGGGTTTAATATATTGTTACAAACAAGACCCCGTATATTTTCATTCCAACGGATTATCCGTTAAATTTGTCGTGCACATTTAACGGAAAATAGTTGCCCGCAGGAATCAATTTTAGGCGCCTAACAGGGCGCGGTAAGAACCGCAATGAAACGAAATCGAAAACGCAATCGATTGTTTCACATATTGCTTTTACACAGTGTTTTGAGTGGCGGTACGAGACAAACTTGCGCAGCAGATCTGGGGTGTCGACGGTTTTGCATACAATCGAATAGGGTTACCAGGCTATATTGCATGCCTGTGATGTTGGCCCTCGGTTCGGAATATGGAGATTGGATCCATGGCATACCATGGCTTGCCATTGCCACAGTGTCATGCTGCAAAGATCCAGCCGAGCCGAGAGCGCAACGAACGACCAGGGTATTGGTCCACCGCCGTTCGATTCCGTTCAATTTCGGTTTCCCGGGCCCGAAGGTATGCTTTGCGGGGTTGGGCGGGTGGAGGGCGAGGTGGGGTGATCATGGTGGGGTGGAGTTTAGCTAACAAGGCAAACGGGCACGATTGTTACGCTTGACGAAGT